TGTTACCTATCTCCCTTTTTTTTTATTATAAAGAACACAGTAGTGAGGATTCTTTTTTTTATTTAAAAAATAAGAATTTTTATACTGTTGTTCAATTATAGTTGTCCCCACCACCCCCATTATTCTTCCCTGCCCTATCCACCCCTCACCTTTCACTCTCAGTCATCCCCCACACTGTCTTTGTTCCTGGGTCCTTGACTTGACCCCTCCCTTTCTTTTCCCCGTTAACCACCCCCTCCTCCCCTCTGGTCACTGTCAGTTTGTTCTTTATTTCCATGTCTCTGATTCTATTTTGCTCACTTGTTTTGTTGATTAAGTTCCACTTGTAGGTGAGATCATATAGTATTTCTCTTTTACCACCTGGCTTATTTCACTCAGCATAATGCTCTCCAGTTCCACCCATGCTGTCGGAAAGGGTAGGAGTTCTTGCTGTAAGGAAGAGTAGGAGTTCTTTGCTCTTTCTGCTGCATAGAATTCCACTGTGTAAATATACCACAGTTTTTTGATTCACTCATTTACTCATGGGCCCTCAGGCTGTTTCCAGCACTTGACTGTTGTAAATAATGCTCCTATGAACATTCTTTTCTTTAAAAAAATTTATTTATTCACTTTTAGAGAGAGGGGAAGAGAAGGAAAGATAGGGAGAGAAATATCAATGTGTGGCTGCCTCTCATGCCTCCCACTGCTGGGAACTGGCCTGCAACCCAGGCAAGTGCCCTGACTGGGAATTGAACTGTGGTTGTTTGGTTCACAGGCCCGAGCTCAATCCACTGAGCTACACCAGCCAGGGCAACATTCTTATATGTAAGTGTTGAGCATGTCTGTGCTTAGATTCAGAATGGGAATTTCAAAGGCATCTGACATCTATGGCTGTTGCCTTCCAGAAAGATTCTTATAACCTGTGTTTCATTATGATCGTGAATAAGGATATTCTTGCTTCCCACTCATATCATCAGTTGGTGTTATTTTTAATTACCTGTTTGTTCACTTCTTATGGCCTTATTCCTTTGTGCCTTGTTTTGGAGCTGACTTTTTAGTTCCCTTTTCCCTGAGAGATGTAGCAGGGTCACACTGCATGTCGCAAGTGCTGAGGAGCACTTCCAACTCCTTCTGAAAACCATACAACAGGAAACGCCCTGTGCACCTGTATCCTCTGGTCCACACGGGAAGCCTCTTATAACACGCAAAATGAAAACAACTTTTCCTGATAATGCAACAATAAAAGCAAACAAATGAGAAGAGTCATTAGTAATATAACTACCCAAAGAAATACCCTAAGAACATTTGAGATAGAGCCTTCTAGACATGGTGTTCTGTTTATATTCACACACATGAGATGTGTATATGTTGAGTTTTAATTACCCAAATAGGATCAAGTTGAGCTGTCTATTTTATCTTTTAGGATTTTTTATATCTTTCTATGTTAATAAATAAAAATGGAGGTTAGAGGGCTGGGGGATGAAGGGATTAAACAAAAAAGGAAAAAGGAGAAAAAGACTTATGGATAGCCATGTGGTGATTGCTGGGGCGGCAAGGAGGGTAGAGGGAGGCGGAGGAGGGTATGGGGGGATAAATGGTGATGGATGGAGACTTGATTTGGTGTGGTGAACGCACAATACAGTGTAAAGATGATGTGTTGTGGAATGGTGCACCTGAAACTGTATAATTTTGTTAACCAGTGTCACCCCAATAAATTCAATAAAAAGGAGTAAACACACATTTAGAGAGGCAGCACAGTGTGGTAGATAAAAGCATGGACCCTGAAGCCCTTCTGCCTGAATTCCAATCCCACTCTCCCCATTTCCTCTCTGGGAAACCAGAAACACTTAACTACTCTGTGCCTCAGTCTTCAGAACTGTCGAACAAGGGTAATAATCATTCCTATCTCCTAGGAGCGTTGTGAAGATTGAGTTAATATATATAGGGCAATTAGAATACTTAATAACTTTATGTGTTGACATGTACTGTATTAGCTATTAGTGTTTCTATAATATACACATTTTTAAATATTCACTTATTTTATAGTTATAAAAGTAATAAATAATTCTCATGATAGAAACTAAAAACATTACAAAAATAAATAGTGGAATAAATAATGGATAAATAATGGAAAACGTAGCTTAATGTGTACCAGTATCTGTTCATACACACAATATGTACACCAACTGTAATTTAAAATGTGGTTATCTAAGATAACAGAATTACTGGGGACTAACTTTGGCTGATTTTTTAATGTACAATTTTCTAAATCCAAATAGGTTCAGCACACTTGTATACATTTTATATGTATTTTAGGCATCTTTCCCCATAAGTGCTAGATTGATTTTGCTCATTCTTTTGGACAGCCCTGGGACATTCGGTTGCATGGCTATGCCACAGTTTACCTGACCATTCCCTTCTTGGTGAACTTGTCCTCCATTATTTCTGCTATTACCCACAATACTTCAGTGAATGTCTCTCCGTGTACATCTATGTGCACTCACGAGAGTTTTTTCATAGGAGAAATTCTTAGAAGTGGAATTACTGGCTCATTGCATCTACTGATTTTAAGGGTTTTTCATACTCACTGCCAACTTGCCCTCCGCAAATGTCAGACCAATTTAAACTCCCACCAGCAGTCAATGACGCTGCTGGTTTTCCCACAGAACAAATGCGTATCATCAGATGCTTTCATCCTTATTAGTCTAATGGGTGTAATGGTATCACTGTGTCATTTTAATTTTCTTTTAATGGTAGTGAGGTTAAAAGTATTTCACATATTCAGCGATCATTGATATTTCTTAAGAAAATTGCCTACTCTTTGGCCATCATTGGCATGTTTGACCTTTTATTTTGTGTATTTTTCTTCTTTATTTGTAAGCACTTTTTAAAAAATATTTTGTTTATTTTTAGAGAGAGGGAAGGGAGGGAGAAAGAGAGGGAGAGAAACATCAGTGTGTGGTTGCCTTTCACGTGCCCCCAACTGGGGACCTGGCCCACAATGCAAGCATGTGCCCTGACTGGGAATCGAACTGGCGACCCTTTGGTTCACAAGCTGGCACTCAATCCATTGAGCCACATCAGCCAGGGCTGATTTGTAAATACTTTATAATATCAATTATAGTAAATCTTTGTCTACCATATATGTTACATGTCTTTTCCCCACTTTATTGATTTTTTCGATTGTTTTCTATCTCTTCTTCACATTGAATAATTTCTAGTGCTCTGTCTTTAAGCTTACTGTCTCTTTCCTCTGTCATCTCTATTCTGCTCATAAACCTGTCCATGGAATTATTTAATTTCAGATGTTAATTTTTTTTCCAGTTAAAATTTTCTATGTGGTTCTTTTTAAAAATAGTTTCTATTTTTCTGCTAAGAATTCCTGTATTCATTTGTTACGAATGTATTTTCCTTTATTTCAGTGAGTGTATTTATAATAGCTTCTCTGAAGTCCTTATCAAACAATTCCAACATCTGGATTATACAAGGATTAGTCACTGTTGATTGTCTTTTCCTTTGAGGAGAAGTCATGTTTTTCTAGTTCTTTGTATGCTGAGGCATTTGGGATTGTACCCGGGACATTGGGTATGGCTGGATTCTGATGTTTTGTCTTAGCAGTCTACCTGGGGTAGACTCAAACTGCAAACTCTGTCTCACCTGTGATGAGCAGCAACTCAAGTCTCTGTGTACTTTTGTCTTCAGCTGGACTGCTTGTAGTTGGCCTCATACACACATGGCTAAGAGGTCACCGAGAAGCTTGGGCAGAGTTTATATACAAATTAGGGTTTCCCTTTCTCTGATTCTTGCCTTTCTAGGACTTCCTCCACACTCTCTAGCGAACTTGGTTAGCCCAGGCTCTGCTTCTTCATTCAGGTCAGCAAGATGTGGGTGGTCTGTTGGAGTTTTTACTGCCCTGCATTTACCCCAGCCGTGGCCTGTCTTTAGTGCAAAGCCGCCACAATTGCAATTCAGCCCATGCTATCCACTTCCCGCAAGTTTTGACTCCCTCCCAAAGTCCTCCTACTTTGTTCATTTTCAGAGTGTTGTCTTTTGAATTTTTTCAGTTAATTGTTATCTGCAGAGGAGACTATCTGTTATGAACTTACTCCTCTCTATTAGAAAGAGAACCAGAGCTTGCTTATTTGCTTGTTTGTTTGGTATATGCAAGTTTAATATTTTTATTTAGTCAAATGGATTCGTTTTTCCTGAATGGTTTCTGAACTTGGTTCTTTGCTTAAAACTATCTCTTTCACCACGTGAGCATTTAAAAAAGTGTTTCTTCAACTTGGATAGAACTTGGATGTACGTCAGACTTACATTTTCTTTTAGTTGAACCTCAGACTGCCAAGGCCTATATTAATGTCATTGCTGGGGGACTGGAGAGGAGAGAAGAGGGCAGAATCAGGAATGAGCAAGACTTCAGCAAATTGTGTGTATCTGCCGAGGGAGGGAACCAGTGACCAAGACATAACAACTGAGATGCCATTGATGAACATTTCACAACTGGTCATTCTTCAGTCCAGATCTCAGCCCAAAGGCTCTGTGGCTCCTAGTCAGATATGTCACTCTCCCTGCAGCCCCACTCATTCTCAGCCAGCACAGAGTATAATGTTGTACCCTAACAAGATACACAGTAAGCCATGTGTGCTTACCTGCTGGTTCACTGGCTCAGACCTAGGTCTGTTCTGCTCCTCAGAAAGGCAGTAGGACATGGTGGTCAAGGACCCAGGTTTTGGAATTAAGCATGCCTGGTCCACACCGATTCTGTCACTGTTAGCTGCTTAGCTTCTCTGAGCCTCAGTTTCCATTTTTATGAGACAGGCATAAAAACTACCCATTTCACAGTGCTATGATAATTTAAGTGAGACAATGCTCACCAAGTTTTGCCACAACAGCTGGCACAGGGTGAACTCACTTGATGAGTATCAGATCCCTGCACGGTCAGATCGGAGATGTGGTTTTTGCCATCCACCTGCTGTGTGGCCCTGGGCAAGCTGTGCAGCCTCTGGTTCTGTCTGCAGGAACTTCCACGTCTGGAATGAAGCCTGGTTTGTGCGGAATGACCTGGGCTCCTCCTACAGTGGATGGCAGGTTCTGGACTCCACCCCCCAGGAGAAGAGCCAAGGTAACACCCTACTGGTCCCCCAAGGACCCCCTTCTCTGGGTTTGGCCCTAAGTCACAGCCTCTCAGTTCTTTACAGTAGTGGACAGTGGCACAGTGAAGTCACCCCAGTCCTCTCCATCTCTGGAAGGCACAATGGGATTAAAACAAAATATTTTCAACATAGCTTTCCCTTCCTGCTATTTAAGTGAGTGCCTTCCCTGTGCCCACACGCTGCCATGGCTGCTGTGGGGGCCCTGGCACCTGCCAGGCAACAAGGGAAAGAAGCCGTCCCTCTGCCAACAGTGATTTTCCTGCTCTGCCCCTGGCCGTCTGTCCCTCTCAGCACAAGCTTATCTGTTACCTTCCTTTTCCGTCGTTTCTTTCAAACTTAAAAAATAGTTAATTATAGAAGTAATATGTGCATGTGGTCAAAAAAATTTTTAAGCCACTCTCAAAGGTCCTAACAATGGAAACTAAGTCCCCCAATGCCCCCTCTCTACTGGAAGCAGTGAATGTGACTCGATGTGGGTGCCTTGGTTGGGGGGGGAGCAGTGACCCTCCAGATTGTTTCTGGACCACTGCTGTTGAACTTCTCACTGCAGCCCATGAGTGGCCATAAAATCGAGTTTGTGGGGTGCAACCATCATTGTCAGGAATGAAAGAGGATGGCCTGGGAGGGGGCGGGAGGAAGGAATGGCAAAGAAAATTGCGGGGTGCGCTGCACACAGCAAGTATTGTCCTGTAAAACTTTCATTTCAGCCTCATGTATCTACCAAGATCTAAAATCTATTTCTAGAGGTTTTAAAAACCTCTAGGTTTAAAAACAAAAAACAGTTCAAGGTGACTGTTCTAAGCACATCAAAGTTATGTATCTTTTTTATTTGTTTTGCAACCACAAATGGAATAATACTCTCCTTTCTATTCTACGGAACCTTGCTTTTTTATCAGGTGGACATATTATGAATGAAACTATATATCTATATCTAATTTATATTCATCTATTGATTATCTACCTAACTACTTGTCCATCTACCGATCTACCTACCTGCCTATGCACCCACTCATCTATCTATCTATTCTCTATCTAGGGTATCTATTATCTAACTATCTATCATCGACCGGAGCTATCTATGCTGAGTGCTAGAGAAGGGAGGTGATGGTCAGGGCTTGGGAGCTCAGAGGAGCCAGAGACCCCTGTCAGCTGAGCATTCAGGAAAGTCTTCCAGGAAGAGAGGGGCAAAGATTTGGGAAGAATGATTTACAGATACAGCAAGACCAAGGGCAGTGGGTCAAAACAAATTACGCATCCACAGAATGCAGGACTGGTGGAGTCTGACGAGGGTGCCATTGTAGAATAAAATGATGGCCTAGGAGGGTCACTATGCTGAGTGCCAAATGAGCGGGTCAGGCTGTCGGGGCTGAAGGAGTTTGGCAGGGTAGAGGCAGGGGAGTTGGGTGATTCTGGATGGTCCCCAGAGGAGCAGGCCCTGGGGTGGTCTGTTGCCTTTGGCTTGCATCCAACCTCTCCACCCTGGCCACTAGGGGTGTACCAGTGCGGCCCTGCTTCAGTTAGCGGTCTCCGAGAGGGTGACGTGCACCTGGACTTCGACATGCCCTTCGTCTTTGCGGAGGTTAATGCCGACCGCATCACCTGGATCTATGATGCCGACCGTAACAGCTCAAAGCAGAATTCCTCGGACACTAACACCGTTGGCCGGTACATCAGCACCAAGGCAGTAGGCAGCTACTCACGCATGGACGTCACAGAGAAGTACAAGTACCCAGAAGGTAGGAGGGGCGCCGGTGGGGCTGTGCCACTCAGGGCTTGGTGACAGGAAGGCAGCTTTTAGGGTGGGGGAGAGAAAATGCCACATGCTCCTCCCACTTCCTCAGCCAGTTTGGCCTGAATGGTAGGACTGCTGCCTGGCACCTAACGCCCAGTTCCCCAGACTGTTTCCAGTGGGACAGAACCATCGTGGGCAGGCTGGCGCCAGCAGAAGTTTGCCACAGGGCACAGGCAGCTTTCATTCCAGCTCATCTCCAGCTGTGTCTCTTTGCCAGTTGCACAAACAGGGTGACAATGCCATGGTTGAACAGCTCAGGGAGAGCCGTGGCCCTCACGGGAGGCCCCCAAGGGCTTTAGGAGAGATTGTTCAATCAGCCCACTCCCCTAGCCTCCAAGACACACAGGAAGGAAATAGGATCTGAACAAAGAAAAGGACAAAGACCCCAAGGCCACAGGACTATGCTATGTACACTTCAGAGGCCTCCCAAGAAGTCGGAGGAGGTGGGACTGCATCGTGAAAATGCCCAAGTCCCTGAAATCTTAGCATCCACAGGCATGCTGTCCCCTCAGAGTCACTGGGAGGACTAGTTGCTAGGAGGCCCCCTTTAACTCAAGTGCCATTTGTTGCTCTGTTTTGGAAATTGCTGTCAGAGTCAACAGCCTGTCTCTTTGGGGATTCTCAGTAGTGCCAAAAGGTCTACATTTGAAAGTGATGTTCATTTTTAGAAACAGCCAAGAGCAAATTAATGCTTGCTCTAGCAGGCCACAGTCACTCCTTAATGGAGCCAACATTGCTCTCTCCCTAAAATGCTTTGAAATAGTTGCTTCAGTGGATCCTCACAGTTGACTCTGAGGGTCAAGAAAGGTGCTCTCTTAAAGGTGCCCATAGTCCATCCTAAAGTGAACCTTCAGACTCTGCAGCTGCTGTCTGTCCTGATGGCTTCAGCTTTCATGAAAGGAAAACTGAGCACAGGAGACAGTTCAAGTTCAAGGGGATGACCCCTCTGGGCATGTTGAGGCATGAGTCTAGAGCAATGAGATTGGTGGCCTCAATTTGGCCCCATCTGTTCCTGCGTGCCATTCCCCCTGTTGGTGTCAGATGGCCCTCCTCTCAGTTAATAAACATGGACTGACCGAGACCTCCCCAAGTGCCTGCTCTGTGCTCAGCTCTAGCGAGGCAACAAAGATCAACCAGATGGGGCCCCTGCCCTCACAGAGCTCACAGGCCAGGGGAAGGCAGTGTAGGATGAGCATTTTCAACAATGTCATGGTGTCCAAACAAGTGTAGAGGCTAGAGAACATATCAGGAACTGAACCCTGACCCTATCATTTAGAACTGCGCAGGATCCTTAGGGTCCCTCCTTTTCTCTCTTCTGAAATGAGAGTAGCGATGCCTGTCTTTAGTATGAATGAGCTGATATCCATAAAGCACCAAGTGGAGTGCCTGGCACAGAGTGAGAACTTAGTAAATAGTGGTGGTTTTTACAACTTAAGCATCTGCAGCCTCATTGGGATAATGACTTTTGAAGTACACTACTCACTTACATGGCTATATAATTCGGTGGGGTGCCTTATCTTACTGTAACATCTTGTGTGCTCTGGCTGTCCCAGTCAAGCCTCCTAAGCATTGGATTAGGGCCAGGTTGTGGCTAGGTTGGGGGAACACCTGCAGGATTCCTGGCGACGCCCCAGCCCCTTTGTGACAGCAGAGTTCATCATCCTGCCACTTGTTGCCCAGTTCTTCTTACCTCGTGATGCCAGTTTGTCCCTGAGGGCCCCGAGGAAGAAAAGCTCATAAAATGACTTGCTAAGCATTTGTGCAATAGCAATACCAAAGGAGAAAACAGTAGCAGGAAGCTTAGTCTTGAGTAAGCCCAGCAAGTGACCTATATAGGTATCTAGGCTTTGAGCCTCATTGTACAAACATGCCTGCTTCGAGGTCCTGGGCACAGAAGGCTCAGTTCCCTGTGCAGACATCAGCCCTGGGTGTGGACTTTAGCTTGGCTAAATGGTGGGAAGGCAGCAAAAGGAACCCAGCCCACCAGGAGCTATCAGCTTGGGCAATCTGGCTGCCTGCCTCCTTTTCAACAGGATGAGTGAGAGGAACCCTGGACTATGCATCCTGAGGACTGGCCCCCTCTCTGTCTCTAATCCCCAAAGTAGACTATGGGTTGGGCCAGTGGCTTTCCCTCTTAGGGCCTTAATTCTAACATGGGGGGGGCTTTGATGAGTTGGCCTCTGAAGTCTCAGCCAGTTGTTACACATAACTTATGGGCAAGAACTCGTTAAGTTATAAAGTACTTATAATAAGTCATCTAGTGTCTTAAAAATTTCACAGCTTTGTTGGGGAAGGTGGGGACCAAAAATATGGTCTGCAGGTATAAACATGGAAACGCTTTAAAAAAAAAGATTTTATTTATCTTTAGAAAGAGAAGCATCAGTGTGTGGTTACCTCTCAAGTGCCCCCAGCTGGGGACCTGGCCCGCAACCCAGGCATGAGCCCTGACTGGGAATCAAACCGGCAACCCTTTGGTTCTCAGGCCAGCACTCAGTCCTCTGAGCCACACCAGCCGGGGCTAAACATGGTAATTCTTAGTGTATCTCTATTCGTGTTCTGTGTTCCTGGAAAGTCAACACCTTTTCACTGCTAGTGGATCTACCTACAGGTCAAGGCAAAGAGCCTGATGTGAACTAAGTGGTCAACACTGGCTGAGACACTTGGAATTGGCTACTCAGCTCTTATCCTCCAGCAGCCATGGTCTTTAACGTGCAGCATAGCCATTCTCCCCGGGGCTGTCCACACTGTCACACTGAGTAGGACCCACAATCAGATTCAGGGTCTGAAAACTTGTCCTTTGTGTTTTTGAAACCTGACCTCTCTCGGCAACTTGAACTAGTTATGACCTGGAACCAGACCAACCATGGGAAGTTCTTGTCAGCTGGCAGGGGCAAAAGTGCCACTCTTAGCTGTTAGAGCACCTTTAGAGACAAAGCAGAATAACATGGATTAGTGACTTGAAAAGAAATTTAATGAAGTCCATTCTAAACCATAACTTTTTAAAATTTATGATCTCATTCTAACCTTTTCAGCTCAGCTTTTATTTATGTTTAAATGATCTATTTGTTCTTTAAGTCTTACAAGGGAATTTTGATCAGAAAAAAGAAAAAGAAAGAAATCTAATTTAATTGACCTAAGCAAAATACCAGGTCACACAGTAATTTTACATGGTTGTGATAGAGCTTTTCCTACAGCTCCCTGGAAATTTAGGCTGATTGGAAAAGCACCATAGATGAGCAGGTCTGTGAGCTTTACATTAAGGAGGATGAAAAAGAGACAAGGAGAGGCCGACCATTTGCTTGGATCAGAAATGTTATGCAGCAATGGAACCAGTGTTAGTCCCAGGCCATCTTTCCAGGCAGGCCCTGTCCTTTGTCCAAGTTGCCACCGCTTTCCTGAGATGATTCTGTCTCCCCCTCCCCAACAGGGTCCAGTCAGGAAAGAGAAGTGTTTAAGAAAGCACTGGGGAAACTGAAACCCAACCACACATTTAACCCAACATCTTCACCTGACGACACAAGAGAGGAACGGGAGCCCAGCATCTCTGGGATATTCCAGGTCATTGGCACACCGGAAGTGGGCAAAGAAGTCAACCTGGCCCTGATGCTCAAAAATCTGACGGAAGACATGAAGACGGTGACGGTGAACATGACCGCCTGGACCATCGTCTACAATGGCACACTTGTCCACGAGGTGTGGAAGGACTCCATCACAGTGTCTCTGGACCCTGAAGAAGGTAACTCATCCTACGGGTTGTTCAGGCACTGTGTACCCAAGGTCACTGGTGTTCTGTTGGGGTTAGAGAGTTTCCTACTGGAAATGGCTCAATTCTCTAAGGAAGGAGCAGCACACAACTTATGTGGTTAAGCCTTGGATTTGAGGTTTTGGAAATTACTGTCACAGTGAACAGTGCAAGTTAGGGTGTTGCCAACACAAATTCTTTTACACCCTGGGAGAGGAAGGAGGGAGGCTTGGGCAATTAATGCACATACCACAGTCTCCCTTGCAGCAGCAATTTTCACCAGTGTGGCCCAACTGGTGTGCAGCAAGAATTCTTAAAACATGCAATGTCTTACTATCTAGTCAAGGACACTGACCACTTTTTCTTTATTGTCAAATTTTTAAAAATGACAACAACCAACACAACAATAGCTGTCTGATGTGAATGAATCAAAATTATACCTATTTTTTTGGTCAGATCAGCAAAAAAAAACTATATATATTTTTGGTGCACCACAAAATTTTTTGTAATTAGATCATGTGTGCCACGAGAGGACAACAGGCTGACAATCACTGCCCGATGGGTACGTGCCCCTGCCCACGGCGCGCGGAGTACTTCTTTACGAACTACCTCCCTGACCTTCTAAAGGTGACAGATTCCAGCATCCCTATTTTACGGAAGCCAAAAGTGACGCTTGGAGAGATTGTGAGTCGCTTAAGAAATTGTCGTAGCTAGTAAGTGGCAATGCCAGGGTCTTGGGCCTAGGTTTCCTGCGCTAAATCCAATGCTAACCTCGTTGATGTACAGCTGCCACACACACCTCCTCATACCACCCCCACCCCACCCCACAACGAATCACTTTTCAGGTTTGACCTGAGAAGGGTTGCAATATACCATGGGGCATATTGCAGTGACTCCTTGCTCCTGGGTAGCATAGACAAAGAGGAAGCAGATGGAGCAGAGAAAGCCCAGCTCTGTGGAAGGATTAGAATGCAGGTGTGCCCACATTCGCAAAATCCCTCAAGCTGCCACGAAGAGATGGAACTTCCCAAGCAGATTAACAAGGGTGGGGTGGCGATTTACTTCACAGAAGGAACTAATAAAAACTGATTAATTATACAGCCCATCTTGAAAGAATTCTGTCTGCAGAGAATCTGAGACGTGTTACACCTACCAGAGGGCAGCATTCCCCTAGCAACCTGACTTCTCCCAGAATTTTAGCAGAAATCTTCCTGCACCTGAAGCAGTTGCCTGGCTGTTATTTACCTTCAGAGCTCAAGGGAAGAGCTGTTTTTGTAGGCCAAAAATTATTCACGTGAGGGAAATGGTTCCCCAAAGTACATGCGTCTGCAGGAGGCAGCAGAGTGAAATGGGAAGGGGGAGGAGGCAGGTGAAGTGGCCTTGGAGGCCTGCTGCTGTCACCTGCTTTGTGGGTGATGCTGTTCGCGGCCCTCCCTTCTCAGAAGGGAGCCTCAGTGTTGGGTTTTGAGACGGCTGGACCAGTTGGTGCAAGGGGCAGACTGGGAAAATCCCCTTAGTGGTAAAGGCGGGGCAGCTTCTTCCTCACAGTCTTCCCTCAGAGGATACAGGACATGGTGGGTGACAGGGCCTCCCCAGGCCCCGGAGCATGACCGTGTGAGGGAGAGGTGGGGGTGCCCTGCAGTGCAGAGGAGGGGGAGGTACCTGTGCCCTGTGGTGCCAGAGAGAGCCCTGAAGCTTGGGGAGGAGCCAGGCAAATGGAAAGCTGAGGGAGGCACTTCCATCTGAGGGAACCCTGCTTTGGCAGGGGTGACAATATGCCTGTTTTGTCGAAGGAACCACAAGAAAAGGGAGAAGTGAGTTAGACTCAGTGATGCAGGGGCAGATCGGGGGCTCTCGACATCATTCAGTGAGGAGCCATGGAGGATTTGTGAGGTGATGGGGAAGAGGAGTGGCATGAAGTGGGCAGGGGAGTTCTTTTAAAGCCTTGTCTGACCGATGCGTGTGGATGACTCGGAAGCAGGAGAGACCAGAGGTGAGGAGGCGGTTCAGATGCTGTTGCAATAGAATCCCACACTCTTATGACCTGGGAGGATCTGGAGCACCCGTTTTGCCAATCCCAGGCTTCCCTCCCCAGTTACTATGGTGTTGGTGTCCTCATTGTTGTCACTAGCCAATGAGTTCATCTTCGTGGTCCTCCCCTGCCCCTTAGAAGAGAACTCATCCTCTGACATTTTCTGGTTGTGGAGGAGGCTTCAGCTCCTCCGAGCCCATCCTCCTAAGACTCTGCCCAGCCAGCCAGAGTCCTGGTCTCTCCCTGGTTCCTGCCTGGTCCCTGGAGTCTGCACAGGATAGGGTGGGGTACTTCCTCCAGGGCCTGGCCCAGGGCAGGCTCCGTCAAGCCCTGGGCTACAGATATTCCTGGCCAGCTCACACTGACTCAGCTTGGCATCAGCTCTGGAGGTTTCAGAAGACAGACCCACTCCCTCTCACTCGGCTGCCCTGGCTTCTTCTTCCAGAAATACAGTACCCGGTGAAGATCACATACGCTCAGTATGAGAAGTACCTGAAGGCAGACAACATGATCCGGACCACGGCTGTGTGCCAGGCCCCTGATGAGGCCGAGCTGGTGGTGGCGAGGGATGTCATCCTGGACAACCCCACCCTGATCCTGGAGGTAAAGGGGTGGTGAAGGGGTGCCTCCCAGACAGCCAACCCCCATGAGCCCCAGCCCCTCGCAGACCACAGGGAAGGTCCTTCCCTGCTGGGAGGGGCAGAGGACAGGGTCCATCTCGGGTCCAGCCTCTGCCAGATGGATCAAAGAGATCTCACTCAGACTAACATTCTCATTCCCTGACTGGTGAGATAAGTGGGTACATTGCTACTTGGCTTCTTTCGTTCCAATTCTAGACCCACTGGGGAGTGGGTCTAGCTGAGGAGTGGCTGGCGGGAGTCTTTGCTCACTGACACACCCACTCAGCTCTGAGCGTCTGCTGTGTTCTGGGCCAGGCCAGACTCAGAGATCACAGAGGGGTGCAGGGGGGTGGGCCCTGCCTGAAGCGAGCCCATTTGTGGAGCAGATCAGAAATGGGCACAACTCCTGTGCATCTCTCTAAACTGCACAGCTACAGAAGAGTGGACTCTTAGAAGCCTAATCTCATGTTCCCATACTTGGCCATCTCACACAGGACTAAGTCAAAGCTCAGAGGAGAAGGGAAGAGCCAGTAACTACTAGAGCCAGGGCTAGACCTCAGGCTCTGGGCTCCCAGCCCAGGGCCCTTTTCCAGGCATCCAGACCCATCGGCAGCCAGCCGCAGCACCTTCACAGTGGTTGACAATGAGGCTGCCTCTGATTCTGCTTCCGGTTGTGGGCTCTGCTCCCAGGCTCACTCCAACAAGCCCAGGCTATGGGAGTCTGCGGGAGGCGCCTAGGGCCACTCTGTCCCTTCCTCAGAGCCAGGTCTGAAAGTACTGGTGCTGACTCTAAGCCTGTCCCTCTTCCTCCAGCCCCTGGGTCCTACTTGCCCCCTAGCCCAGGCTGGAGGCCACCAGAGTCAGATAGCACAAAGCTGAGGATAGAGGCTGGCAGGCAAAGACAGGCAGAGGAGATGGGTCTTCCAGTGAGTCCCATAAACAGCCTCATGGATCAGGTATCTGCTATGTCTGTCATCTGCCTCACCTGTCTAGACAGTGTCTTTTTCTCTTCTATCACAATGCCATTGGACTCCCAAGCCCCATATTTCTGAAGGAGCTAGATGATTGTGGGGGCCCTAGTCCCACCCCTCCCTAAGCCACACTCTAGCTGCAGGGATTCCTGACTTCAGAAGAGTCAGGGGACCCAAGGCTTTCACTCCCATGAGCTAGCCTACAATTGAGCCTTTTCCCTGTCCCAGTTAATCTGATGCTTCAGAATGAGGGTAGTTGTCCCCCATCCCAGGGGCTGGAGAGCCACTGACTGGACGGCCACATTGGGGGAAAGCAGAGCAGGGCAGTTGTTCAGACAATGGACCTGTAACCTTTTGTCCAGACCCCACCATTTATCAGCATTGACCTTGAGTAAGTCCCTTACTCTCTGCATCTCAGTTGCTCCAACTCTGTCACGGGGGTGATAAAATACTTCCCTTGCAGGGCACCCTTTCCTGGGGAAGACTTTCCTGACATTCCACTCCTCCCTGAATTAGGCCTGTCCACCATTAAACGCCATCAGCGTCTGTGTCCATTTACTTCACAGCATTTGTCCTAGTTGAAGTTATCCCTTTATTTGTGCAGCTGCTTGGTGGCAGTCTCCTACTCTCCCAAGCCCATCGCTGCCTCCCCTGGTACAATGTCTGAGGGAAGATAATCAGCATTTGTAAGCCAGAAACACCCCTGTCCACTGCAACAGAGACGCTTGGCTCCTGGCTGGCATTCTTCACCACCCACAGAGTTGGCATTGTCAGTCCATGCCTGTCTTCTCCTGCTTCCCAGCGTCCCTGCAGACATGATGGGCAGCGGAATGCTGATTCCTACTCCTGAGGCTGGGAAACGAGGCTGGGTAGCAGCCAGTTCAGTTATGGAAAGGCTCTGCGTTAAAACCATCAGTGTTTAAATGAAGTTAGGCTTTTCCCCAATATATTCCCGTACTCAATACCCTCAGCCTTTCTTATAACATTATCTTTTATTCAACACTTTTGCGCTCCATCTTTGGGATTTCCAGAGCAAGTCTGCTTTGTCTTTAAAGAGACTCTAAAATCTTTAGAAGGGAAATCAGAATACACACAGGCTGGAAATGTGCCACCGAGAACTTTCTTGCTGAATCTCATTAAAAGGCATCTGCTCGCTCTTCTTTGGGGCATCTTTGTGTGAATTTCCTCCAAACACGTTCTTTGCTCTACTTTGGCCTTTAGAGAATCAACACCACCTTGTCTCAGTTGAATGAATCAATGCGTAGTGCATTCAGAGCAAGGTGCAGATTTCAAGCCTCATGAGAGTGACCTGTATGGAAAAATAATAAATTGGGTAAAACTCCATTGTCTTATCTGATGCTGATTGGCAGTTAGCACTGGGGACCCCACACTATATATAGAATCAGACTCAGAAATCTGAATATTGTTCCAACATTGACCCATGAACCACTGACAATCAGACACAGGTTTCTGGTGGCCCTTACCCTCTCCTTGGGTGCATGTATGGATTTGGTTCAATAGGACAGGGTAGTAAACAGCAATAGAGAAGCAAAACAAATACATGGAGATCTCAAATTGAGTATCAATGGGAAAAGTGTGGCGCCACTTATGTAGCCTTGTTGTAGACCAATGGCATAAAGTATAAGCTTCACCCCTCCTATTATGTCATACTCGTAAATGAGTTCCATGGGAGAAATGGTACAGATCCTGGTCTCCAGAATGTTTCTGTTATGTACAAATTATTGGTAGGCCTTACAGGGCCTGGTGAGTGAAGGCTCTGGCACCAGGGAGGCCCTGGCTGTTCAATATGCCCCCCAGCCATACAATTTCATTTTCTATTTCCAAAGTGCTTTCTTCCCACCCGTGATCTCATCTGCTTCCTCCTAGCCCAGGGAGGAAGACAGGAAGGACTGACTAGTTTACTTAACCAATGAGGAAGTTGAAGCCCAGTTGTGTCTGCTTCTTGGCAGAACAAGCTTCCATCTTTGGGAATGATCAAATCATCCTGGTTGCTTTCCTGACTGGAAACCTAGGCTTCTCTGACTCCTGACCAAAGACAGTGCGATGTTGGAGCCCTGTCTACATGACGGCAGGACGTGTAGGGAAATTCTAGGCTCCAGAAGCTTACAAGGGCATCTCTAGTCTGGGGTTCATCAGAGAAGAATGGCCTGGGTTGAGGTCAGGGCCCAATATGCTGTGCGTGTGGAGGAGTGGACCCGAGCAAGCTGCAGCCTCCCGGGGAGAGCGCTTCCAGGCTGGAAGGGAATCAGAGCCAGTGAGTGGAGGTTCAAGAAAAGGTGTGTTATTAAGTTCAGAACAAAAGCTTTCCCAACCCTCAGAGTGGCCCTCAGTGGAATCAGACTATCCTGGGAAGAAGTGGCTGCCCTTCCCAGGATGAACTGGAGAGGAGACCTGTGAACTTGGCAGAGAAGTTAAAGCCCTCTCTGCCTGAGTCCGGGTGTCCTGTCTGTAGCATGGGGGTCATAGCAATGTCCTAGGAACGCCCTGCATGGATATGTCACTGGCACTTTGGAGGACCTAACAGACAGTCCTCTCTACCTTCACCCCCAGCAACATCTTCCCCATCATCAAGTTGCCCACTCAGCTCTCACTGTGTGGCAGGTAAGACTAGCAGCCAAGTCCTGACTCCACCCACCTCTCTCCCTGTAGTTGATGGACCAGGGCCAGGCCCAGGTGCGGCAACCCGTGAGTGTGCGGATGGTGTTCTCCAACCCACTGGATGAGCCGGTGAAGGACTGCGTGCTGATGGTGGAGGGGAGCGGTCTGCTGCGGGGCAGCCTCAAGATCGAGTGAGTCTCAGGCCTGAGGGGCCCATGTGGGGTGGCAGGAGGGAGCAGGGGGACATCCAGGAGCAGGGCAGACAGAGCTTCTCTCGTGTTAAAACTGGAGATTCTGCCAGTCGGCAAACACATTTGCATTTAATTGGAACTCCTGTGAGGTGCCAGTCACCAGAGCTTGGAGCTGGCCCCCAGAGTTTAGCATATTTGGGAGACTGGGAGTCCCCCACACCCTTTCTGATGGATCAAAGGGCTGGAGTGGCCTAGTGACCCAAGGCAGCATCTGGAGGGAGCTAAAGGAGCAGTGACCTTGTCCAAAGTGGGACTTCAGGCCACAGAGCCTGTCCAGCCTGAGGTCCGTGAATCTCACCGCCAACACTGATTTTTGCCCTTCCCCACCAGTGTGCCAACCCTGCGCCCCAAGGAGCGTTCCCGGGTTCGTTTTGAGATCCTGCCCACCCGGAGTGGCACCAAGCAGCTACTTGCCGACTTCTCCTGCAACAAGTTCCCTGCAATCAAGGCCATGCTGTCCATCGACGTGGCAGAGTGAAGAGCCCAGGTGGCCCCATAAAAACCTGGGTACCACGAAGCAAGCAGGGCTCACCTGTCCAGCCTGGGAAACCCACTCTGTCCCCCAAAGCTGCCTGGACAGGGAGGCCCAGCCTCCAGCACACCCTGTCCCTCACTCCCCCACTGGGCTGGCTCTGCTCTGGCCCGAGATTTGCTCACTTTTGCACGTTCTCTGGCTGTTTCTCCCTGTGGCTGCCTGCTTCGTGAGCCCCATGGCCCTGCCCAGCCCTCACGTCCATCAGTGCAGCAGGATGCGTGGCACCTGACCCAGCGACACTCTGAGTGGGCACAGGGAAGAAGACGGCCTGGACTGTTTGCTGATCCCTAGCCTGCAGTTGGGACATTCCTGCTCCTTCCTTGGGCCACAGAAAAGGGGAGGGTTAGCCATAGAGTCTGTCATGGTGCTCACATCCTTACACTCAAAATAAAGTTAAAAAGAGCACACTCACACAGCACCGACTCTCCAAGACTGCTGCTTTGCCAAAGGTGGTAGAGAAGGAGGGAGGGAACGTGTCCTTGGGAAGACTTGTACTCCATGTTCCGGTGTTTAAGGGGAGTGGGCTTGTTCTGTGTGGCTCAGATGCAAAGCTGGGGAGATGGGTGAAGTCCGTTTAGGAAAACTTTCTAATATGATGTCCATTAGGCCATCATTCGGCCACCTTGGGAGGGAGCTCCCTGTCATGCAGGCTTGCAGAGCCCTCTGTGTGGCTGAGCACCTTCTGCCAGGGCCCCTTACAGGTGTCGCAGTGAGAAGGGACTTCAGAGCGTTCGTGGGAACACTTCAGCAGAGCAGGTGCCTTTGGCAGCCCGGCCTCTGCTCATGTGGGCTCTTCCTTCCTTGCACCACACTCTGCCGCCTGCAGCCGGGACAGAATGTGCCGCTCCCAGTGGCCTCAGCCAGGCGAACTCAACTGGAACCTTCTCTGCCTTCACATGCTCTCTGATGGTTTCTCAACCTTTGCTCCTTGAAGTAGCCCCAAGCAGATCCTGTGGCTTTCCTGTCACTGTGCCGACAAATCCCATTTTGGCAATCACATCTCACTTTCTGAATGTGAGGGACCAGTCCCACCTCACATCCCACTCAAAGTCTCTGCCCCATGCTCTGCTGGGGCCCGACTCAGGTGGTCAGAAGAAGCAATGCCCAGTCCTCAGCTTCCTTCCGAGTTGGAGCAGGGAGAGGGGGAATTAGAGAGAACGACCAAGGTCTATTTCTCAAGCAGCACGGCCACCTACGCCTTCTGTGTGGCCGGCATATAAAGGCAGGCTCTCTGCACCGCATGTTCCCTGAGGTGGGTAACATGCCCCTCGGTGTCGGCCCCCAGAGTTCACCCCGCTACCTCTCACTGCACTGGAAGTCACGGCGCCTTCACGATGCTGAAGCCCAGTTCCCTTTCATGAGATCCACTGGCCCTGGGAAGCTCAGACCTCCTAGCCTCCCCAAACAACGGGGGAGCCGGCTGCCCCAGCAGCCCCTTCTCTCCTCCTGTGTCTCAAGCCTCTCTGGCCCCAGCTTCCCACCTCCAGGATGCCCCCGGGGACACCCAGCCCAACAAGCTGCGTCTACCCTTGCTGCCAGTGTCAAGGATTTCCCACCAGCCCCGGTGTGTGGACACAGCTGAGCCTCGCAGTCTCTGCGGCCCCGTGAGCCTGCATGCGTCCTTAGGGCCTTGCCCCTGGACTTGTCCTGAAGACAGGGTGTTCCGTGCTTCCTCAGACTCTCTGCACCAGTCCCAGCGAGGAGAGTTAGGGTGAAACGGACAGACTTCTGCTCTGGTTTCTGATAGAAAGAAAGAAATCCAGAGGTTTCATTGCCTGCCATCCATGGGAGGCCTCGCCCGAGACCTTAATTCTCTCAAGCATCAGCCTTGTCGGCCGGCATTTCCCGCATGCTTACTTGGTGCCAGACTCTGGGCTGAGCACAGGGTCCACAGGGATTAAAAATCAACAACAGCAGGACCCCTGCCGTGGGGCTTCTACCCCCAGGGGCAAATTGAAGGTGTGACATTAAAAAGCCACATAGAGGTTTTAGTCAGCCCCGGACACATCTATCTCCTATCTAACAACACTCCTCCACCGCTCTTGGGTTCTGAGAAATTTTAGCAATAAAACAAAGACACAGCAGACAGAGGCCACAACACCACCTTTATTTCTAGTAGAATGGAAGTGGGAGACTACAGCACAGTGTGAGATGCCAGGGGCCCCGTGAGCTGAACCCCCGTAGGCAGCTTAGGTTAGAGTGTGTGCTCCAGCGCCACGGGCCCTAAACAAGCCGGTGGTTTACTCTCTTGTGTAAGAGCCGCAGGAGGCAGCTCGGGAGCCCAGGTGCCTTTGTCTCAGGAGCCTGCCAGCCCCCACTGGCACTTTCGCCAGGTGGTTCCAGGCAGCTGTTCCAGCTCAGGCGAAACGCCCACAGTCCATCCGACAAGAGGGAAACGGATGGGCACCTTCTTTCCCACTAAGGGAACAAACAGTCTGATGGTTGAAAGTTAAAATGATACATTTCATTTCTGCTCATTGGCCAGAACTGAGGCCCCATCTGCCAGGGAAGTTGGGAAGTGTGGTCATTAGCTTGGCGGACATTTACCCAGCTAATAGTTGGGGTTTCTATTACTATAGAAAGAAGGGGACTAGATGTTGGGGTAGCCAGCAGTCTCCATTACCCTGTCCCACCAAGACATGAGGCACGCAGGCCTAGGGGGATAGTATCCTCCGTGGTGGCAGAAAGCCCAGAGGAGTATGGAGGACCCTTGAGCCAGGAGTAGCAAAAGTGAAGTGGAGTCTCTCTCTCTCTCTCTCTCTCTCTCTCTCTCTCACACACACACACACACACACACACACACACACACACGGCTCAAGAGGCCTGCGTGCTTCTGCTCTCACCCTTTTGCAGCAGAACACTGCCCCAGACCATTATCCAGTCTATCTTCATGTCAGCCATGGGCGGGCGTGACTTTGTGATAGGTTAGGAAGAAGCTGGGAAAAGACCCAGGCAAGTGGAATAGGGAAACAGAAATAAGAAAATTAAACAAGGCCAAACATTTGGAATAACTTACAGCCAGTTGAATCACAAGACCTTATTTTCCCCAACCAAGGACACTTGAGAGCAAATAGTTTTTCCCTCCCCTCGCTAACAAGAGAATACATCGTTTAAATTAAGCTGGTTGGGGAGATAGAGGACGGAGACCCCATTAATGCCAGTTGTGCCAGCTAAACCCAAGGACAGAGAAGTCAGGGGAACAAAGGACAAATACTCCATTAGAGCCAGACAGACCCAAGATATAAGTTAAAACAGGAAAGCAGACCAAAGACTGACCCCAACCCTCGACCTGTATGCTCATTTTGATGCATCAGCAATATTTAAATGCACCTGAAAAGCTGATGAATATCCTGCTGAAACTCTCCCCTAAGATTCTCACCTGCAGGAGAGTGAATAAAACCCTCAGGACAAAGACCCGGCGCACCTCACTCTAGAGCACGCCCTGGCCCCTCCCCAGGCAGAAACTGTTTACTTTCTCCTGGACTCCAAGCGTCCCCACAAGCTTTGCAGCCAGGGAGACAGTGGACAACGGCAGATCCTCCCAGGCTGACCCCCTGACCCCGTCTCCAAGACTCTCTCCTCTCCGACTCTCCAGTGAGCTCACAGCAGCCCCGCCTTGGCTCTCTCCTTTCCTATCACGTTTCTAAGGAGCTGAAGCAGAGCACCGCCTGGGCTCTCTGCTGCTGCTGCTTTTCTACCCTAAGTCCTTCCATTGTTTCACTGTCCCCAGCTTTAATAAATGCACCCTCAAAATCACCTGGACTGGTGTTATGGAATCTTTCTGACACAAAGTCAAGAACCACACACTCACTACAGGCCAGCCGGAGGCAGACCCACTCTGGGCTGGTCGCTGTCTAGTAACAAGTATGCTAGAGGCAACATACTATGAGGGTCCAGGAGATGCTCCCCTACTGCATCAAAGGATTATGGTCCATTGAGGGTTGCAAAGGATACACCCACCACTCACTAGGCCAGCAGGATGTGTTGGTGACAGATCGATGCATTGACATCATTAACTCAGTGGTGTCTTCTCTACATTTAACACAAAAGTACTAGCAATGTGTTGTGGGGCTTATAACATTGTAGATGTTATGAGTATAAGTATAACATATGAAAGTAATGTTGTAAGTATAACATATGAAAATAATAGCACGATAGCTGGGAGGGGGAAATTGAACTATATGATATAAATTACTTAACCATACATGAAGTGATCAAACATCATTTGAAGACAGATTGATAAGTTAAAGATCTATGCTATCAACCTAAGGCAACCATTAAAAAAATAAAACAAACAAAACCCCAAATATTTATGATTAATAAGCAACAAAGTAGATACAATGTGAGGAAAGAGTGAAGATTCTAAAAATATAAAATGGAGTCATTTTAACCATCCTGCTAAATGATGAACATTATGAAGTCGAGACCTGAGGAAACAATTCTTCTTGTTTTAATTAGCCTGGGACTCAAACATTTGAACTGTCCAGAACGATACCTAGAGATCCGTCAGTTTGTTGCACATCGGTTCCTGGAGAGACACCCAACCTGAAGAGAACCCTTGGCTACTCTGTAAAGGACGTGGGTGCACTTGGCACCCAACCCGGATCACCCGGCATCCATCACCCAGACGGCCTGCATCTCACTGAGAGCTGCCTTGTACCGAGGGCTAGGAATGCAGGACCACTAAGGCTTCATTGCAAGGACTCTGAGCTTTTCTTTCTCCTCCAGACCTCTCTGGGTGTGGCCTTGGTGTGCTTCCAGTTTGCCATCTCTAAGACCCTTGGATAAATCTTTGTCACTCATTTCTAACCAAAGCCTCCTGACTCTTTTTGAGTACATTTAACACGTAGTAAAGAATACTCAATTCATTTTAAAAGGAAGGCAGAAAAAGAGGAAAGGGGGAAAGAATGATAGATGAGACAGGTAAAAAAATAAGTAGCAAGATGGTAGATTAAAACCTCAACATATTAATAATTATTTAATTATTATAATCGATAATGAAATGTAAATGATCTAAACATCTCAATTGAAAGGCAAATATTGTCAGATTAAATTTCAAAAAGCAAAAACCAAATGTATTCTGCTATAAAATGCTACTTTAAGTATAAAGTCAAAAATAGATTACATGTAAAAGGGTAGAAAATGATATATCATGCAAATAGCAATTAAAAGAAAACCAGAGTAGCTATACAAACATCAAACAAAGTAGATGAAAATTGTTACAGAAAATAACATCTAGAAAAAAGTATTTTATAATAATAAAAAGATTGATCCATCAAGAAGGACGATTAGTTTTAATGTTCTTTGGCCGCAATGAAAGTAAGTGAAAAGTCAGTAACATATATCTATCTGAAAATTCTGAAATATTTAGAAACTAAAGAAAAACCTTCTGAATAACTTATGAGTCATAGAAGTTAA